TTGGGAATTCAAACCTCTCTGAAGATTTGTTTCTGGAGCCTATGGGGGAAAAAAAACCTTCTCTTGACATTGAAGACTAGAGATACTATACCGCTTCACATTTCCACTACCAAGTTATTGCTTTTTCTTTTGTGCTGATATGTTTGGAGAAAGTGGAATATGCAAAGACGAGCATCGAGGATTTTTGGCATTAATGTAAGATTGGTGTGAACTAAGAACAAATTGCATTTGGACTTCACATACATAGAGATGTTATTGTGTGGCTAAGGACTTTGGAAAAAGAATGGTAAATATGGGATAATATTATGTTATTAGTAGGAGGAGCTTGGATATAGATGATAGCGTGCTGACTGATCTGATTTCTAGCTAGATTATTGACATTTCGACTCTGGTTTGATCAGGATTGGTGCCATGTATATGAGTTCAGCCGTGAGCCCATTTAGAAAGCAGAACTACACAAATGTGTCTTGCAGTGTCCGAAAGGGCAAAATACTGTTATTTGTTTTCCTGTTAATCACATTGTCACATGATCAGCCTGTAGGGATAACAAATCGTTGTTCAGAGAGATCATTCAGCAGGAAGCTTTAATGAGGAGGACAAATGAAAGTAGGGCACAAATATTTACACCGTTGAAAGAGGTTTGTAAGAGCAGACTCTTTGCCCAGACCGATATAACAATAAATCCAAGCAGAACAGGAAGAAGGCTTTGTATGGGCAGCAGCTGCTTTCTCCATTGACGAAAGACAGGAAATGTGTGTGAAATTAAACTTTAGGATGTTATTGCTGTTCGCAGTCGAAGGCACCTGTGTTTGGATTGAAGTTTAATGTAATGCAGTGCATTTAATGGCTGATGTAGATTATTTGGGAATGTTTATGTTGTGTTATGTGTAGCGCAGGAGAGCAAAAATGAAGGAAAGGACATGATATGTTAAGAAAGTATTCACTGAATTGCATGCTTTTTCCATTAATCTTAATTTAAAAGGGTGAATATTTCTCTTTACTTACATTGGCATTTTTGAAGCCTTTACACACAGAAAGTGTTAATGCAATACCATTATTTAACATGGTTTCAAACACTTTATTGATACATATGCACACATGGATGTCTGAAAGGTTTATTCTTTGTTCACTTTCTTTAAAAAAAAAAAAACAGTTGGCAATATAAAAGATGTTAGAACAAGCATCTATACAGGACACTGACATCGGTGATGTACGTGCAGCATAAAAGAGACAAAGTGGACAAATAAATGGACAAATCTTCTTCTATATTTAATCTTCAACTTCTCATTTTTGCCTTTGGTCTTTGGCATTTTTCAAGCCACAAACGAAGACAATCTCACAAGCTTCATTCAACAATGTGGCTTTGTTGTTTTTTGTACCATCCACATATAATATATATATTACACAAAAGTATTTAATGGACTGCTGTCCTTTTATGAGTATACATGAAGTATTTGTAGTGTCTGGATTAGAGTGTCATATATTGCATAGGTTCTCAAACTGCAGGCAAAAAAATACAGTTATGCATTGTAATAATGTCTGGGTGGCGTATAAAGTTACACCTACAGAACTATAAATGTTCTTGCAGAAGGTGCATCGACTTTTTTTAATGGATGAAAACAGGTATTTGTTGATCTCTGGATACTGACTTAATGAAGTGTTCGTTTGTGTTGATGCTTGACATGAGATTGTGTAATGACCATCAGTTTTACTCAGAGCAGGATATTGGATTTTTACTTGGATTCTTTGATATGAGATGATTATTGTTGGTGAGCAAATCATTTGAATTTTATAAGGGGAAGTATTTTTATTTGAGCAGTGAGATATATTCAGTGTTCCTAATGGAAAATAGTTTTTTAAAAACGACTGGTGTTTTACTGCACATTTATTCATATATACTGTGTTGTGTGTATTTGAGGGCCAAGTATGCCATACTATATGCATTTACAGAGGTTTTCATTAGTGCTATAGGCAACATTACTAGCACCGAGAAGGTAAAGTATTGACTGTGATGCTGACGGGTTTTGCATCATGAAATGTGCAGCGTTCAAATGAAATGTAAAGCCAGCTTTAGCTTTCCTAAAGATGACATGCTTTTGTACTATAATGTATGAGGGATGGACAAAAATGGTTGTTTTTACCTCATAAAGCTAACTTATAAGAAATAAGCCAATGTTCAAATCTACAATATAATAGGATTCCTATGGCATAGGATGGTGGCCAAATTGCTTTTAATGTAGACTACCAGAAGAAAAAGGAACCATTAGAAATTGAGCAATATTGCAGCTGTTGACGTGTAAAAGCATTATGGCAAAAGCATGAGCCTTTGAGGACATCTGGGAACAGCAGACAAGAACTGCAAGCACTTTAGCGTAATTTTGGTGCAATTTCTCTTGCAAACAGGTCCATTGTCTATTGTCAGTATTGTATGAAGCACAACCAAGCAGCTTTCTGTTGGTCAACACGGCATTGAAAAACATTGATTATTTAAATGACTGCATTTTGCCCATGAAAATTCTCAAACTGTAAATGCAAACGCACTTTTAATGTTGCGAAATGTCATGGCTAATGTACACTTATTTACATACACTGTAAAAAAAAATCCATAAAATATACGGTGAAAGTGACTTCTGAACATTACTGACAAAAGAGCTTTTTGCTTGCGAAATTCCACCGAAATGTGGCTAATGTGAATGCTAAAGTTTTTAACTACAAACATAGTTTAGACTTGTAGTCAAGCATTTTCCTTGCCAGTGTCCCGTGTGCATGACAACTACTGCATCTTTTGCAATAGATTTTCAGTTTCATTGTCAGAAGACAGCTTTTCAAAGAAAAAAAAAAATTTGCCTTTAATGAAATCACGAGAAGTATTGCTTTTTCAGTTTGAACCAAGTAAACTGTTTTGTTTTGTTTTTTACTTTTTAAGTAACACTAAAAATATGTTGCGTGTTTTGCTCTTGTTGTTTAACTTACAAATCCATTTGCAAATGCTTCCTTAAAAGGTTTAATGAGTGTTCTAGTTCCCTTTGGGAGAAACCAAAGGAATATTGATATGGTGTGATAATGAAATCATGCTTTTGCTTTCAAAAGCCCTATTTTGACATGTTAACCACTTATTGTATGTTAGTATTCTGCTTATATTGTTTCATAGTAATTGTAAGACTCACTCTTACACATACATAATTATTTTCTCATTAAAAAGAAAATGTGTAAAACGTCTCTGTTCCTGACTCCATCAAAATCTGTCAATGTGACATACGAATTTATAGGAATATTTCACCCAAAAATGAGAATTTGCTGAAAATGTACCCTCACCCTCTGACCATCCAGTGTAGATGTGTTTGTTTCTTCATGCAGTCACATGAATGGCTCGAAGACCTGGAGGGCAAAACATCCATAGAACTGCAGGACAAGCCTGTCAATTTTCCATCTGTTTCACAGCCGCAAATATTTAGATCATCTCTCAAAAGAATAAAACCTGTCACAGCCTTCAGCTGGTGTGCCCAGGATGGCCACCAGATGACACTGTGTTTTTCTGTGAGCACATGGCTTGTGTTGTGTTTGTTTGGTGCCATGTGCTCTCTCCTGTCTATTGTCTGACCCTGCCCATCTTGTTACCTCATTATTGTTTAAGTTGCTCCACCTGTGTCTCCCTCGTTACCCTCCTCGTTTGTTTCCCTATTTATTCTCCCATTTTATTATTAAAAAGAAAGACCATTCTTCCTGCAATTTGAGTCCTCGCCTCATCGCTCCACATGCACCGTGACAAAAACCTGCACCCGCTGCAATATTTCAATCATTAAACTGTGCGACAAAACGCTGTAAAAACACTTAAAGTGCCTTAATATATTTAAAACAGTAATATTCTCTATATTAATGATGCGTAGTTTACATAGGCAAGCAGATGAGGCCCGGAATATGAACGCAGTCTGCTTAATGGTTCAGTGTTTTCTTTCTAATGGTTTTCTACGGGAAGCCATTTAACGTGAAACTTTGCACATTGCGTTTATATTCTGGCTTCATCTGCTTACCTGTACAAAATATACATAATCAATAATATGTTTACTGAATTTTGCCTTTTAATATCTGCGTTTTACTGCATTGCTTAATGCAAACTGCAGTAAAAATAACTGGCAGTCAGTGGAGCAAAGCTTAATGGTTTTCTGCGGGAAGCCATTTAACGTGAACCTTTGCACATTGCGTTTATATTCTGGCTTCATCTGCTTACCTGTACAAAATATACATAATCAATAATATGTTTACTGAATTTTGCCTTTTAATATCTGCGTTTTACTGCATTGCTTAATGCAAACTGCAGTAAAAATAACTGGCAGTCAGTGGAGCAAAGCTTCGTTTTGCCCTCCAGGTGGCCGTTCCTATAAGGGTGTGACGTCACGGGAAAAACTATCAATAAAAAGGTATGGAATTATGGCAAATATTATAACATTAATTCAAAAAGAGAGTGATTTAGAATATTTGGCAAAAGCATGGAAAAGTTATAAGACTTTTGTCCTGCTTGAAGCTTATTCTATCCCTACATTCTTCCAAAAAAAAAAACTATTTTTTTTGTTCCATTAAAAAAGAAACAACAAGAAGGTGAGTAGATGATGACATCTTTTATTTTCTTTATTAATTTTAGGAGATCTGTCTGTTAAGGAGAGAATTAAATCCTCGTGACCTGGAATGAGATCATCGTCTGCTCTTCTACTCGAGATCCTGTTTGACTGGTTCACACAAACCAAGCAAGTATTGCATCACCTGGGATGCAATGGGGAGCTCTTTTTTCTTTGAGAGTTATGCTTTGCTTTGCAAAAAAAAACACATTTCCTTTTCTTGGAATTTTAATCTAATAGAATTAACTTCATATAAAACAAACCCATGGTATGTCCTTACTGATTAGAAAGTTAAGATGAGTTTTTGTCTGGGAGAAACATGACTAACCACTGAAAGTATTTCAGTGTGCAACTTCCCCATAGCAGAATGACACGATGGGCTTCACCCAGAGAGTTTGAGCTTCTGTGAAGTATCGACTCGGATCAAAGAAGGTTTTGTTTGCTTTTATTATTTTTATGGCGTTTACGATGTCCTGCCGTAAATACATCGCCCCTCTAGTGTTCTGTGCCCAAGTGGCCAGCTCGTTTTTTGACACCGCTCTCCAAATGATCGTTAAAGAACGATACGCAAACGCCACCGACTGGGACAGCGAGCAGAAAGCCATCACAAACTTCAACATGACCTTCAACATGGTGCTCAAATTCATGCCGATTGTGCCAGCGATCCTTTTGGCAAAGGTTGGAGACAAAGGTTACAGGAAAGTGCCAATAGTTGTTCCTCTGGTTGGTTACTTTCTGTCCAGAGGTTTGCTCTTGCTGGATATCGTGCTGGAATGGCCTGTCCAGGTGCTGTACGCGGTGCCCGTGATCCATGGACTGTGTGGCGGATTTGCATCGTACTGGGCAGGTGTGATGGCGCTGGTGTCGGTGTGCTCCGGTGAGGAGGAGCGGTCCGTGCGCATCATGAGAACCGAGCTGGTGTATGGAGTCGCCGGGTTCATTGGTAGTTTGGGTTCTGGTCACTTATTTAACCTCTATACCGTAGGTCTCCAACAAGGAGCCATTTTATCTAGTTTGTGTGTGCTACTGTATTTCCTCTGCCTGCTCTATGCCGCATTTTTCCTGCGGGTCGATCTTTTCTCAGAGCTTGCAGAGAGGCAGGAGCGACGGGAAAGTGTTGGGATCATAAACCAGGAAGCCCATGATAAAATAAACATCGCTTTGCTCTTCGTCAGTGGGATTTTGTATGATATAGCAGTGGCTGGAGGAATGGAGATGTTGGTAGCTTATGTGCTCAAATACCCCCTCAACTGGGGCGCAACCGAGGTGGGTTATGGAAACGCGGCTGGATCCCTTCTCTTCATCACCAGTTTTTTGGGTGTGAAGATGTTCACAAAATGTTCAGTTAGAGATGAGAGCATGGTCATGATCGGGATGGTGTCTTTCGCAGCTGGGATTTATTTCATGGCATTTGTGACCACAACTCCGATGTACTTTTTGGGTAAGTTATAACCAAATAATATGCTTACTTGAACTGCACGGTAATATTGTATTCATATACCCTTAAATGTACCTTAAATGTAATAAATATGACCATTATATGGCTAAATATTATCCAGACCCTGTTGGCTTACATCAATAAAAGCAATCAATAAGGGACGGACAAGGTAAAATATCTGGTAACTATACATATGCAGGTGTAAGTTGCTTTTATATATAAAAAAATATATATACATGGCTTATATTAGCATTATAAAACATGAGTATATTTACATTTCTAAAAGTTACTTAAAAGTTAAAAGCATTGCTTTACAATGCGTTACTCCCTAAAAAAAGTAACTAATTACGTTACTTAATTACTTTTTATGGATAGTAATGTATTATGTTACTTTTAAAATCTGGGCTGGGCTTGCTTGTTTGTTTTTAATAATGAAAAAAAAGTTCTGTTTTGGCAAGTGTAAAAGCTCTTTCACACCAAAAGTGAAATGAATAAGCCTCAGGCTGAAGGAATGTAAATTAACATCTGTACATCTGTAGTAGAGGGCAGCTCAGAAAACATTTCAGTTGTGCTGCCAATTATGGATTATATAAAGAACAGGACGCAGGAGAAGAGAGAAAGTTTAACACTCTTCAGCAATGAAAAAGAAAAAGAAAAGAAACACAAACGTTATGTTTATCTAAAGCAATTTTTAATTATTAATATGGTTGAAATGTATCATTGGAAAGCTGTCAGTAAAAAAATGGGAAAACAAAGTAACTGGCATTACTTATTTGAAAAGTAACTCCGATATTTTCTTGTGAATGAAAAAGTAATGTGTTACTTTACTAGTTACTTGAAAAAGTAATCCGATTATGTAACTTGTGTTACTTGTAATGTGTTACCCCAACACTGTTTCTAACTATAGTGATGAACGAGCATTTAAACTGGAATACAATAATAGAGCAAGTGCATAGTTTCTCAAGGGAATAAAAACAGAAATGCTCTATAAATCACTTAATTGATTTAGTATTCTCCTCTGATCTGAGGTTTTGTTCTTGTCTCCTTTAGCTCGCTCTATCACTCTGTTTGCTCTGATTCCAATGCCCACCATTCGCTCGCTGCTGTCCAAACAGGTCAGGGGAACCTCATATGGTAGGTGTCAGTTCTTTTTTCTGTCAGTACCCTAAACAAGTTGTGTGTCTGCATATGGTGCTGCCAAAGACAGGCTTTATGGAACACTAAAATTTCCTCAAAAGTAAACTTTGACTTCAGTTGACTTTTAAACAATTTGCATGTTAGTCCATGCAGCTGTGCTGTGAAGCATATCAATATTGGGTGTATATATTCAGAAGTTGAAGTGTGAACAAAAAATCAAAAACAGAAATGAAACTATGAGTCAGTGTATTCACAGGTGGAGCCCATAGGAATATTTATGCTTTTGTGTGGTAACAAGAAGTAGCTTTGTAGGCAAATGTAAAATTATTATGTTTATGACCTGGGGTGAGTTCAACGGAACTTGCAATCATAGTTAGCACCTAATGATGCTTTAGGAAAACGCACTCCTGGTTGTTTCCTGGTGGTCGTTGATTTGTTTTCTTTATTTAATTACCCATGTTCTTGACTGACCTAACTGGTGTTAGTGTTGTTGATCCCAGTTGTACAAACAGTTTATGGATTATGGTGAATTGATGGGCTGGCTGAGGTGACAAGGAGTTAGAATATGGTATTTCAGAAAAATACAGGGCCAAGTACCGAACCCTGAGGCACTCCAATGGATAGCAGTTGGTATTTAAACACTCTCTCTCTTGAAGATACCTTGTTGAATCTGTCTGTGTGGTAGGACTCAGGCCAGCGAAGTGTAGTTCAAATCATTCTCAGTTCAGAGAGAGTGGACAGGTGAATTTTTAGGCCTTACTCTGCTTTTATGCACGTCTGTGATTTTGGTAACCATCCAGAGGTTATGTACTTTACCTTATCACCAACACACAGCTAGTGACAAGTCAGACAAAAATTTAAGCAGATTTGAGCATTTGTAAAGAATAAGTTATATGAAGCCAAGACATGGTGGCAAGTTTAAAAGCAGTAATGTAATACAGTCACACTCAGTCACTAAAGACTATCTGTAATGTAACATTGAGATAAACTAAAATACTAAGCTTATAATTTTTAAAATATTTACAGTATATTAAAAAATACATTTTAGTGTAAGTGTGTTCTATAGCTTGTATTCTTCAAGGTATCTTTAAGGAGGTGTGTTTAAATCCCATGCTACTGGAGTGCCTCAGGCTTCAATGCTTGGCCCCCGATTCTTCTGATATACTGTACCTGCAGGTCACACCAACCAAACCTCATCTTGCCCCTGTTGGCACCAACCCTATGTAACTGATATGTAATAGAGCTTAAAAATAAAGGTACAGTTGGGGTGATGATGGGATGAAAAACTGAACCAACTGAACTCCTCCTAACCTTTGGTTTGGAACACCACAGTTTGGTGAAGCATGTCCTTTGTAATTTTCACATTTAGCTACTTTTCCTCCCATAGGCATTACCTTTGTCATGCTCCAGTTGTCCTTCAAACTTGCAAGCTTGGTCACCACACCCATCTACACTGAGATCTATCAGGCCACACTTAACACCTTCCCAGGGTTTGTCTTCATACTGTCCAGCATCTTCACTGTTCTTTCTATGATACCCATTAGGTAAGCTGACACTTTTTGGCACCCTTTGACAATATTTGATTCACTACTGAATTCTGAGAAACAGTCATTCTTAAAACATTTTTATTGTTTTGTTTTTTTATGCCTAGTATTGTAGGATGTTGCTCTGCGAGACATGATGGATATGAGAGAATTCAAGGGAACTGACTGACAGCATCAACCACACCAAAGCAGACAATGTATCAGAAATGGACAAGTTTGTAGGTTTACACTGATGTTACGTACAATAGAGGATATTCTACTAGGATAATGCTACTTCCTGTTGCACTGTGGTTACACGGCGTTATTGGTAATGCAATATGTGTAGCATCTTATTTGCCAAGGTTTTTTTTTTAACATCTATGTATAAAATGCTGACAGTCTGTAGTTTTTAGGTATTTTGGTAACAATTTACAATACATTTTGATTCGTTGTTAACATTGACTGCATTAGTAAACATGAACTCACACTGGAAAATTCTTCGAAAGTATATTAAACTTAATGTTAATTTCAACATTAACTAGTATATTATTGAAATCAGAAGTTGTATCTATTATACTATTTAAAGAACCTGAACTGACAACGAACGGTAGTATTTTTATTAACCAGCCTTAACAAAGATTATTAAATACTTTAACATAAGTATTACGAATTAACTAATGTTAACTAATGGATCATTACTGTAAAGTGTTATATTTTATCCTCTATACCGTAGGTCTCCAACAAGGAGCCATTTTATCTAGTTTGTGTGTGCTACTGTATTTCCTCTGCCTGCTCTATGCCGCATTTTTCCTGCGGGTCGATCTTTTCTCAGAGCTTGCAGAGAGGCAGGAGCGACGGGAAAGTGTTGGGATCATAAACCAGGAAGCCCATGATAAAATAAACATCGCTTTGCTCTTCGTCAGTGGGATTTTGTATGATATAGCAGTGGCTGGAGGAATGGAGATGTTGGTAGCTTATGTGCTCAAATACCCCCTCAACTGGGGCGCAACCGAGGTGGGTTATGGAAACGCGGCTGGATCCCTTCTCTTCATCACCAGTTTTTTGGGTGTGAAGATGTTCACAAAATGTTCAGTTAGAGATGAGAGCATGGTCATGATCGGGATGGTGTCTTTCGCAGCTGGGATTTATTTCATGGCATTTGTGACCACAACTCCGATGTACTTTTTGGGTAAGTTATAACCAAATAATATGCTTACTTGAACTGCACGGTAATATTGTATTCATATACCCTTAAATGTACCTTAAATGTAATAAATATGACCATTATATGGCTAAATATTATCCAGACCCTGTTGGCTTACATCAATAAAAGCAATCAATAAGGGACGGACAAGGTAAAATATCTGGTAACTATACATATGCAGGTGTAAGTTGCTTTTATATATAAAAAAATATATATACATGGCTTATATTAGCATTATAAAACATGAGTATATTTACATTTCTAAAAGTTACTTAAAAGTTAAAAGCATTGCTTTACAATGCGTTACTCCCTAAAAAAAGTAACTAATTACGTTACTTAATTACTTTTTATGGATAGTAATGTATTATGTTACTTTTAAAATCTGGGCTGGGCTTGCTTGTTTGTTTTTAATAATGAAAAAAAAGTTCTGTTTTGGCAAGTGTAAAAGCTCTTTCACACCAAAAGTGAAATGAATAAGCCTCAGGCTGAAGGAATGTAAATTAACATCTGTACATCTGTAGTAGAGGGCAGCTCAGAAAACATTTCAGTTGTGCTGCCAATTATGGATTATATAAAGAACAGGACGCAGGAGAAGAGAGAAAGTTTAACACTCTTCAGCAATGAAAAAGAAAAAGAAAAGAAACACAAACGTTATGTTTATCTAAAGCAATTTTTAATTATTAATATGGTTGAAATGTATCATTGGAAAGCTGTCAGTAAAAAAATGGGAAAACAAAGTAACTGGCATTACTTATTTGAAAAGTAACTCCGATATTTTCTTGTGAATGAAAAAGTAATGTGTTACTTTACTAGTTACTTGAAAAAGTAATCCGATTATGTAACTTGTGTTACTTGTAATGTGTTACCCCAACACTGTTTCTAACTATAGTGATGAACGAGCATTTAAACTGGAATACAATAATAGAGCAAGTGCATAGTTTCTCAAGGGAATAAAAACAGAAATGCTCTATAAATCACTTAATTGATTTAGTATTCTCCTCTGATCTGAGGTTTTGTTCTTGTCTCCTTTAGCTCGCTCTATCACTCTGTTTGCTCTGATTCCAATGCCCACCATTCGCTCGCTGCTGTCCAAACAGGTCAGGGGAACCTCATATGGTAGGTGTCAGTTCTTTTTTCTGTCAGTACCCTAAACAAGTTGTGTGTCTGCATATGGTGCTGCCAAAGACAGGCTTTATGGAACACTAAAATTTCCTCAAAAGTAAACTTTGACTTCAGTTGACTTTTAAACAATTTGCATGTTAGTCCATGCAGCTGTGCTGTGAAGCATATCAATATTGGGTGTATATATTCAGAAGTTGAAGTGTGAACAAAAAATCAAAAACAGAAATGAAACTATGAGTCAGTGTATTCACAGGTGGAGCCCATAGGAATATTTATGCTTTTGTGTGGTAACAAGAAGTAGCTTTGTAGGCAAATGTAAAATTATTATGTTTATGACCTGGGGTGAGTTCAACGGAACTTGCAATCATAGTTAGCACCTAATGATGCTTTAGGAAAACGTACTCCTGGTTGTTTCCTGGTGGTCGTTGATTTGTTTTCTTTATTTAATTACCCATGTTCTTGACTGACCTAACTGGTGTTAGTGTTGTTGATCCCAGTTGTACAAACAGTTTATGGATTATGGTGAATTGATGGGCTGGCTGAGGTGACAAGGAGTTAGAGTATGGTATTTCAGAAAAATACAGGGCCAAGTACCGAACCCTGAGGCACTCCAATGGATAGCAGTTGGTATTTAAACACTCTCTCTCTTGAAGATACCTTGTTGAATCTGTCTGTGTGGTAGGACTCAGGCCAGCGAAGTGTAGTTCAAATCATTCTCAGTTCAGAGAGAGTGGACAGGTGAATTTTTAGGCCTTACTCTGCTTTTATGCACGTCTGTGATTTTGGTAACCATCCAGAGGTTATGTACTTTACCTTATCACCAACACACAGCTAGTGACAAGTCAGACAAAAATTTAAGCAGATTTGAGCATTTGTAAAGAATAAGTTATATGAAGCCAAGACATGGTGGCAAGTTTAAAAGCAGTAATGTAATACAGTCACACTCAGTCACTAAAGACTATCTGTAATGTAACATTGAGATAAACTAAAATACTAAGCTTATAATTTTTAAAATATTTACAGTATATTAAAAAATACATTTTAGTGTAAGTGTGTTCTATAGCTTGTATTCTTCAAGGTATCTTTAAGGAGGTGTGTTTAAATCCCATGCTACTGGAGTGCCTCAGGCTTCAATGCTTGGCCCCCGATTCTTCTGATATACTGTACCTGCAGGTCACACCAACCAAACCTCATCTTGCCCCTGTTGGCACCAACCCTATGTAACTGATATGTAATAGAGCTTAAAAATAAAGGTACAGTTGGGGTGATGATGGGATGAAAAACTGAACCAACTGAACTCCTCCTAACCTTTGGTTTGGAACACCACAGTTTGGTGAAGCATGTCCTTTGTAATTTTCACATTTAGCTACTTTTCCTCCCATAGGCATTACCTTTGTCATGCTCCAGTTGTCCTTCAAACTTGCAAGCTTGGTCACCACACCCATCTACACTGAGATCTATCAGGCCACACTTAACACCTTCCCAGGGTTTGTCTTCATACTGTCCAGCATCTTCACTGTTCTTTCTATGATACCCATTAGGTAAGCTGACACTTTTTGGCACCCTTTGACAATATTTGATTCACTACTGAATTCTGAGAAACAGTCATTCTTAAAACATTTTTATTGTTTTGTTTTTTTATGCCTAGTTGTTGCTCTGGTTGCTCTGCGAGACATGATGGATATGAGAGAATTCAAGGGAACTGACTGACAGCATCAAAGCAGACAATGCAGACAATGTATCAGAAATGGACAAGTTTGTAGCTTTACACTGATGTTACGTACAATAGAGGATATTCTACTAGGATAATGCTACTTCCTGTTGCACTGTGGTTACACGGCGTTATTGGTAATGCAATATGTGTAGCATCTTATTTGCCAAGGTTTTTTTTTTAACATCTATGTATAAAATGCTGACAGTCTTTAGTTTTTAGGTATTTTGGTAACAATTTACAATAAATTTTGATTCGTTGTTAACATTGACTGCATTAGTAAACATGAACTCACACTGGAAAATTCTTCGAAAGTATATTAAACTTAATGTTAATTTCAACATTAACTAGTATATTATTGAAATCAGAAGTTGTATCTATTATACTATTTAAAGAACCTGAACTGACAACGAACGGTAGTATTTTTATTAACCAGCCTTAACAAAGATTATTAAATACTTTAACATAAGTATTACGAATTAACTAATGTTAACTAATGGATCATTACTGTAAAGTGTTATATTTTATTATATTTATATTTATTATAGTGTGTCTATTTGAGATGGATGACATCTTTTATCACATTTTTATTGTTCAGATTTTGCAATAAATTAAGTTATTTGTACATCCGTGTATGGTGTATCTTAATAAACATACTTTTTTTTACACAAAGTATCCAGGAAATACAATAATGATGCAAATAATCATTATAGTATAATGGCAGTCCATAAGTCTATATAGTTGTTAGTTCTGACTGTGCAAAGGCACAAAAATACATTATGCTAATAAGATGTATTTTTCTTTATTCTAATCATTTTTATCGCTATGGTCCAGTATTAAATCAGTTGAGGTAAAGGGTAACAGCATCAAACAACACTGTACAAGTTATTCTTCCTTTTAAAGTCCAGAATTTATATTTTGTCAGTTTAACTACAAATAGTTTATGCTAAAAGGAAGCCAAATAAGCTTTATAAAACATTACATATACAAAACATGCAGTTGATTAAAAGGTTATTCAATTGTAAGTGATCCTCCTCACTTGCTTTAGTTTAATTTGTTATTTTTATACTTCATACACACCCGCTGGACTGATCTGTAAGTAAACATATGACACACTCATGCTTCAGTCGTTTAATATTTGACCAAAAAAAATGTAACCATTAAGCATATAAAATAACAGATTAATGGACCACAGTTGTTGCAGATTCTGTAGAAAGTCATATAATCATTCTACATTTAATCTGTTCTTGTGTAAACTGAATTGAATCATTTTTAGTATAAGCTGTATTTTATATCATAATGTACAACATGCACTTAAGCAACAAAAGTCATATAGCTGCCTATGTAATGTAAAATAAAATATATTCAATTGAAAATCAAATCAACTCAAAAATTCAGAGACAAAAGTGGACTGGATTTGATGGGTTAAACTTCAAGCCGTGTATCTTCACTAAACTTTTATGAACTAGACCACATTAAAAAGGGCAAACATAGACACATAGAAAACAGCCTATGCTGCCAGACAGAACATCTGAGAGGATGAAGGTGGAAGAAAAGTTCAAAAGGCGCTGAGAAGATAGATACTCGATGACAGAAAAGCAGCTGCATTAACTGCATTAACCAGCAGGTGGCGTGTTTCCAATCTGTGTGCTGCAGCTGTGCTCAAACACTAGAGGGTCAGTTCTGATTAAACATTGCTACATTACTAATTGCAACATTGATGGAGAACTCACATAAAAATGTTTAACAAATGATGCAAACTCTGATCTTGAAATGACCAAATTTCCCCAAATACAACCGTGAGAGAGAAACTGCAACCCTGACTCTCTGTTCATGCCATTTGCTTTATTTGTCTTTGGTGTGTGTGCGTGTGTGTGTGTGTATGTGTCTGGCTGTCTGTGTCTGTATGTGTGTGTGTGTGTGTGTGTGT